GGGTGGATCTTACTTACTTATATACATACATATGTGCATAAAATAGAGAGCAAGCCTCAGGCTTGGTTTTTGGCAAGCAGCAGTTACTAGCTAGAATTTAGTTACATAATTTTGTTTTCCTTTTATTTACTCCCTATTTATGCCAAGTAAAGTTGTTTTCCTTGTATGGTAAGATATACGATTCCCTTTAAAATAGATTTATATAATTAAAAATAGGTTGATGTAAAGAAAAACATTAATACAAAAATGCAGGTAGCATTTGGAGGGTAAAGGTATGACATTTAATCACAAACTGACTGATGTTTAGGAAACACTGGTTTATTCTAACGGCTTCATTTTACAGAAGGGAAACTGGGACTCTGAAAATTGGGTGGCTTGTCTGGGATCACACAGCCCCTCGTGATGACAAGGCGGGAACGCAGACTGAGAGCTGTGGCCCCGTCGCCCTGTTGCCCATTCTACCACAGCCCGTTGCCGTGTGACTGGAGACGCAAGAGTGTCCAAAGCCAACGTACAATAAGAAATACAGCTCAAGACGCAACACACACCGTCATCATCACCAGAGCTGTATTATCTACACACCTGCACTCACTCACACACACAGACAAGGTCTCCATTTTACAAATCGTGCATTCGTAGCACAGCAGCCCTCACTATTGGCACCTTCGACACTGAAACAGTCTTGTTTCTTCCCTTCCAATGTCCCAAGTGACCAATGCAACAGAGTGAGTCGTTCCTATATAGTTTATGAACAACTTCAAAACACTCTTTGTTAAAAGCACAGGTATGTCCTAGAATCCTGGAAGTTTGAAAGGAAAGCTAGTTCCATGTTGTAAATAGTTTCAGGAAGAGTTGAGGGAAGCAGATCTGGGCATTCACAGGTCTCGAGGCAGTGGCCCTGTATCCCAGCTCTCACACTTAAAATTCCTGTAGTTGACAGTTAAAATACTTCCTTTTCCTCTCATGTTCTTGCTCCCACTCAACACTGTTTTCCACGAGTCTGTAGGCGGATTTTATTTGGCCCACCACAAACACAAAAAATTAGACTTACCGTGGCGAGCGCTAATGTGTATGTCTGATCTAGTCCTTTGGCAACTGTCAGAGAATTCTAGCCTCACTAGAAAGAAGTCCCTCTGCTCACAGGGGGGCCAGAGGAGGGCATCTGACAGCTTCCTTAGAGTCATTCCAGACTTTACAGCTCCGACAGGCAGGACAGCCTTCCTCCTGCTAACTGAATCCATCTGGGCATGAGCGTGAGGCTACGTCTCCTTGTTCACTCTTTCATGGGGAGCCAATGGCCTCCAGTCTTTGTAAAACAGTCTTTGTGTGTTTGAGGCTGATTACCAATCCTCCCTCTGACCATCTCTCCCCAGTGTGAACTCGCCTAGTTTTTCCATTTTCATGCATAAAATAATTTTCCAATCTGCTCATCATCATGGCTCACCTCTGTGCTTTCCTGTTGTTTTTTCCTATCACTCGAAAGTTGTTGAGTCCAGAACAGAGTACAGTATTCTGAGGGTGTGTGCAGTCCGGGAGAAAACGCCCAACATTCTTGCTTCCTTGGGAGGTCAAACCTCCAGGGTAAGCCAGGACCCCCTGGACTCTCCAAGCCCGAGCAAATCTATTCCAGGGCCCTTGGGGTCCTAAACATACCTTTGGTTATTCAAGTTCCATCCACAGAGCATTTTAAATGAAAGATGTTATGAAAGGAAAGTTAGATCCAGTCTATAACTTCATAAGTGGAAAGTTCCAGTTTATTACTAGGGTCACTTAGTGGTCTAGAGGAGTACCGAAAGGCTGGCCAGGTCCTAAAGCCCCTTTAGAGAACCAAACTACCTGTTGGGGGGAATCAGGCAGGCAGATCATTCTGAGACTTGTCAAATTCTTACCAAAGTGACCCACTGATCTAAGGCTGCTATGTGGAATGATTTTAGAGGCACTAAGAAATCACAGAGAGATGTCCCTCTTCCCAGTACTATGGGAGGAATTCTACACTGTACCTAGAAATTTCAATTTACTTAACATATTCGAGCTTCATCTAGCAATTCTGTGTAAGACTCATGCCCTGCCCACCTTGCAGTAATGTGAGATGACACTCACATATGGTGACACTCTGAAAACAGTAAAAGCAGAGGGAGCTGGGGGTAGAGGATTTTAAGAGTGAATTTTCACAAAGCTCTGTCTGATGCAGGCTCAAAAATGTCCCAGTACCTAACTGTCATGAGGCCAGTTCAGGACGTCATGGCCCACCTGGCAGATTTAGAATCAGCCCCAAATTCTGAGATTCCCTTCTATGTTGAAGGGGGCAGTGATTGTCAAATGGCAGCATATTGGACACTCTACCTAAATAACAGGAAAATCATTCTCCAAACAGTTATATGCTTGTTGTTGGAGGCCAGTGAGTCTAGACTTCTACTATGGATGGGGAAACTGAGGCCCAAGGTCAAACAACAAATAGTGGCAAAACCAGGACTCGAATTGACCTCTCTTTCCTTGGTCATTTTGACTTTCTCTGAAAGTACTATAGCATCAAACCACTGAATAAAAGGGGAGCATTTCCTTCATCTCTCTATCTAGACATTTGTGATAAATGGGAGCATCTCAAGTACCATTTTCTGGTTCGGCTCAGATGGTAAATGCAGGGTGAGTAAGTGGGAGGCAGGGTTGAACAGTGAGTGTGTGTACATTTCAACTTCTTTCTTTGCATTTTGATTACATTTAACAATGTGTTACCTCTTCACGGAGTAGTTTATATCATTGTGGGATGCCAAGAATGACATCAACATCTGTTAAAACCTAATGTTTCACATTCTCAACTGTAAACATTAACATTGCTTAGTTTTCAGATATAAACTCAAAGTCATTCTGAAGTTGCATGGTTTCTTTCCAAGAAAATTGGTGTTACTGTAATGAAATTTACCTAATTAATCTCCTTAAGGAGGGAAGGAATCCAATGATGACTGTTAATAAAGATCTCAACGTTCTTCTTGTAATCAGAGCAGGGCAGTCTGTGGATTCATTTTGGGAGAGACCATAACTTTCCAAATAAATCTTAGTAAAGCTTTGCAGACAGGGCACTTGAGCTATTTCCCCACTTGGCTCACTTGCTTTTAGTCTTAACTAGTACTGTGTAAATTTCTCTAGAGCCTCTGGGTGTATTTATATTTCACCTGGGACTTGGGACCCCAATGTCCAGGGTCACTGTTCTTGATGCCAGACCTCATATAAAAGGTAAATTTGAATGAGTCATTGATGGAAACGCTTGGTCTGCCGTATTTCAATGCCATCCCGTCTCTGGGCATCATCTGCATGCTGCATGTATGCGCCCACCCCTGCATGCCTGCATAAAATTTTGGTTGCACCAAGCAGAGAGTATGAAGAAAAGTGGCCGCTACCCTCTGCCAGGGCCTTCCCTGAACCCCAGTGGAGCTGTCTACATCTAGTAACCAATAATTTGTCCTTTCAGAGGAGTGTATAATGTCACACCAGGGTATAGGAAGCCATACTGGGGAGTAAGGAGAATATTTCCCAGTCTCCTGGTCCTGAGTTCAAGAGGCCTGGAGAAACGGCACCCACAAGAAAGAGTTTTCAGAGAGAGCCTTCTATGAAGATGTTGAGGGAATAGTTGGGTCTCTTAATTGTGGGACTAGAGGGTCCAACAGATAAAAAAGGAATCACTGGGTGGGAACCTTGGGAGGTTGGGTCAAAGAGTATGGGCATGAGGGTATAGAAGAGCTTGGAGGGTAATAGAGAAAGCCTAGGAATGTGGCAGGAATCCCATTTTCCAAGTTCGGGCAGCTGGCCATGGAGAGCCAAATAGCCAAGGGTAACTTCATCCTCAGCTCCCCAGCACAGAGCTGGATCTAAGTCCTTACTGACTCAGGACACGACCAGGCAGGGAAGTGGGTGGAGTTGCTGTTACAGGGGGCAAGTGGGACCAAAAAACGTCAAGACAGGTAACATGTTAGGCCTGACACTGTCTCAGCAGAGAAGGCCATAAGGAGGCCAGTGGCCTGGGTAGAATCTTCAAGAACAAACTGTCTCCACCACTCCCCATTCCATCCATGGAAAACTATTGATTAGGCCTCAGTATGGTAACACTCTGAAATAATTCATCCCTAAAAGTTCATGGCAGTCGTTCTCTGCTCTGCAGCCTCCAATCCCCTGGAAAGAGGCCTAAAATCAGAGACTGGTCTCAGACTTTATTGAAATTGTTGGTTTCATCATGTGTGTTCCACACACGATTATAAGCTCCATGGGGGTAGGGGGAGATCTAAGGCTATAGATCAATTTCCAATACAATGCTGACACTCAATAAATAACTAACAAAAGGATGAATAACTATGACAGATGCTATTACTATGCTCAAGAATTTATTTCCTCCTTTCCTGTACCATATCCCTTTGGGTTTGGCCATGTGACCTGCTGCGGCCAATGGAATACAAGTGGGTGTGACACAAGCCATTCTGAGCAGCCCCTTGAGGTGGGATTGCGTGGCTTGGCTCAGCCTTGTCTAGTCTGCCGCAGGGCTGCCTGTCACAGGCCAGGACTGCTTCTGTGGCCTGAGCCCCAGGAGAAAATGTGAGATACCAACCCAGAGTGAGCCCACAACCTCGAGGAGAGCCGTGGCCAATCCACTGCTCTCATGTTGTGTTATGAGATTGGCCCTGAGACTGGAGGAATAAGGTATGTCCCTCTTACTCTCACTTCAGCGCCGGCACAGCTGCCTTTGATTTCTCTTTTTTTGCCAATGCTGAGAGCAGATGGCGAACCCCTCTGCCTGCCCCCTGTGCCATCTGGCAAGTGACCTTTCTGCTTCCGCTTCTCCAAAACAACGCCCGGGGTTTCCTCCCTCAGTAGGGAAACTCAATGGTTAACTGTCAAGGCTGCTGTATGAAAAGATGCCTAAAGGAAAGTTTACATATCATATCCTAAACATTTACACAGTTTTTAAATAAATACAAGTCTGAAGCCAGCTCCAGCCCTCTCCCTTCCTTTACCTGCCACTGAAGTGTGTTCTCTTCAGTTCTTCAAAAAGCCAGAGTGTTGCTCAAGCTCTGAAGGTACAGTGTGGTCTAGAAGCTGCAAATGATCTGGTTGAAATCTCGAGGGCTTCTCCCTCTGCACGAGACTTCAGTTTATCTTAGGCAGAATGTCGAGTACAAAATGTGCATGGGACTTTGGGCATGAGCAAAGGCAAACTAAGGGAGATCCCGGAGATAGCATTCATTGCTCAGTTCTGCTGTTACTCTCGGAAGCCATCACAGGGTATTTAAACTTGAAGAAAGGTGAAAAAAAATGCAGAGACATCTATGAGATAGCAGATAGACGAACATTTGTAAACAACTTAATGGTTGGTCTTTTCACCAGAGTCTGTGACGACACCTATCCTCCACCAATACGCTGGTAATTCCAAATTCTGCTTTTCAGACCTCAGCTTTTCTCACAAGGTGCAGGTCCTTATAGCCACTTGGTTGTCCACACACTTTAGATGCAACATGTTTGAAATTCAACATTGAACAATGCCCCGAGCGTGGGCTCTTTTCCCTTCATTTCCTGTATTAATGGCACTCTGTCTGCCCCGTTCGGATCCAGAGACTGAGGAGCTCGCTGGAAGCTTTCCTCTCCCTCAGCCCCTGCAAGCCATCTGACTATCAAGTCTGCAGGGCCACCCCAAACCCTTCGTGGGAGAAAGCGGGCTATACATTATTCATACCTACACATATAAGTAAAGATCCTACTTACAGTATCTCTGAAATGTCCCTAAAACTCCCCTCATCCCTCTCAGCGTCCCGCCCCCTAACTGTCTCAGTTCATCCCCACTGTTGCCAAAACCTCCTAACAGGGCTCTGCATCCGGTCTGCTGTCCCCCTGACCCACAGTCCATCCTTCAGACCTGAGTCCCCTTCCTAAAACACAAGCCTAATGATATCATTTCTTTCCTGGAAAGCCCACAGTGACATTCCATCAGCTACAGAATAAAGTTCCAATTTGACTGACTCATGAAGAGCTCTGTGACTGGCTTCTGGGAACTTTCCAGGCTCCTTTCCCACAGTGCCCAAACTCTGAACACCCTTCTTCCCGAGGAGTGCTGTGTTTACCTACGGGACTCCCCCTTATCCTTCATGATTCAGCCCGGGGATCCCGTCTTCTGTGAAGGCAGCCCTCTGGAGAGTCCCCACCCTCTGGAGAGTCAGGCAGCCTCCTCGCCCTCCGGGAGTCCGAAGCTCTTGCACAGCAACGACATTGCTTCCCCTGGTATGTTCACATGTCTGTGTCCTCTGTCAAACTGTCAGTGAGGCGAAGGTGGCAAACCTACCCGAGTTATCTCTCTAACCTCAGGCCCAAGCTCCCTGCGTGTGTTCTGTGATGTCATCGAGTAAGTGGAAGGATAAATTCTCCAGCCATGGCCTTCGTATCCTTAAATGGACAAATGACTTAGCATATTACATTTTTCAAAGTGTATTTATTTATTTTGAGAGAGACAGAGACAGCGTGAGGAGGGGACGAGCAGAGACAGAGGGAGAGAGTGAGCAAATCCCAAGCAGATTCCTCAGTGTCAGTGCAGAGCCTGACGTGGGGCTCAAACCCATGGAACTGTGAGATCGTGACCTGACCCGAAACTGACAGTCAGATGTTTAACCGACTGAGCCACCCAGGTGCCCCAATGGCTTAGCATATTTACTTCCCCATCTGTAAATAAAAACGAGAATGAGAGTCAGCAGGCTGATTTTTTTAAGCAACATTCTCCTAAATGGTACAAAAAAGTATAGTCTCCCAGCATTCCATCTGTAAGGACGATGACATTTGCTGTAGAACTAGAACGTGAGAGCACAGAAACAGACCTATAGCATGACGTTCCCAGTGCAGTAGTGTTAAAGGGCAAATATTAGGGAGGAAGATGTTTAGAACCCAAGATTTTTCCTTTGTAATGAGAAAACATAATAGCTTATTTTGCAGAGCTCCCCAAACTTTGGTGGATTGTAGTCACTAAGAGTGCGACCTTTGGAGCCCAAACGCTCAAGGTCTGAGTCTCAGCTCCAACACTTAACAGCTCTGTTAGTAGCGTTCCTTTCTGTGCCTCAGTTTCCCTTTCTGCAAAATTAGTATAGCACCTATGTCGTAAATTATTATAAGGATTAAATGAATTCATGCATATTTATATGCACATAAGACAATGTGGCAGGGGCACCTAAGTGGCTCAGTTGGTTAAGTGTCTGACTTCAGCTCAGGTCATGATCTCCGGGTTCATGAGTTCGAGCCCCGAGATAGTGCAGCACTCATTTTCAGATTCTCTATCTCCCTCCCTTTCTGTCTCTCCTCTGCTTCTCACTGTCTCTCAAAAAATAAATAAATATTAAAAGACAAAGTGGCATAACATAAGAGCTAAGTAAACCATGTAGTTTCCCCAAAACAGTAGGATCCATTTTCTATGTCTCAAAGAAGGTTGGATGCACTTGACATGGCATGTCTCATACATAATAAGCATTTTTGCATTTGTGTGGTTCCTCGTCACTAGTTATTGCCCAGAGTTTAAAAAGTCCACACAATTTTCATGACATGTACATGAAGACTTAGAGAAATAGATCCAAGATATAGAACTTCAGGGAGTTTATCCCCAGCTCCCTGCCTTAACTATCCTCCCTCCAGCTTTCACTCAGGGAAGACCAAGCCGGGAACAGGGAGCGCAGGAGACCCAGAGGCACGCCATGATGTGTGTGCCCAGTGTCACCGCGCCATCTAGTGGACATAGAGCTCAGCCGCCCCTTGAAGCCCTCTGAGTTCCAGGGAAGGGTTCAGCCGCAACCATGCTAGTCCGTCTGGCCAGCATCAGGCTGATGTCATAACACCACCCCCTTGACGTGCATCATCAGCACAAATCATCCGGGACACCGGGAGTCTCCTATAAGCTGCCGGCTCTGCCCATGAATTCAGCTTGTCCATCATCCATAAAGCCATCTTTGCAAAAAGCAGGCCGGAAGACGGGGATGGAAATGGACAGAATAGTATTTATAAAAGTGAGACTAAAGCTAGTCAACATTCACCTATGTCCTAGTAAAGATTCCCAGACCGGCCAGCCAGCAAGATGTGCCAATGCTTCGTAACTTTTTGACCTCCGTCTCTGGCTTCAGTGCATATTGGCACAAGGAAACCCAGGGCTGACAAGGGCTGAGCCGACTGAGGGCTGAATCCCACTTTATTGAAATGTTTTTAGGGGAGGCCAACTGTTTTTTGTAGGTGATTAAAAGCTTATCCCCAGAAGGCAAGTAAACATGGCCCAGCCAATAACTCAGCGCTGGCATGCAGAGCAAGGGGTATTGAACACCATAACCGGGAGAGAGTATCCACATAAAAACCCAATCAAAGGCAAGGTTTGCCTTTGAGGGGTGCTTGGAGGCCAATAATCCACCTCGTCTTTATTTTCCATTCAAAGTTCTTGGCCACAGTGACCAGGCGGACCAATATTAAACTTGAAAGACAACGGGTTTGGAATCAACAACTAACTGAAATCACTTCCCTGGGCACATTCAGCACATTCCGTCAACAGACGCAATAACCGGCGAAGTCGGCAATGGGTGAGCTGAGCTATATCTTGCCCAGAATGCAGGTTCTTTGGGTGACCCATTTATTCCACGGTCTTTTGAAATTTTTATACCATTATTAGAATAAAGTGTCTGGGATGCTGTTTGTCGCAGAACACTTAATTTTGATGAAAAGGAAAATTCCAAATCAAGACGATTCAGTAGGCAAAATTTTTAAATATTTTAAAATAAAAGTTAAAAAAAAATGGAGCATGGAGTGAGAGTTACACCTCAGGGAGGAAGTCTAGACATGTAGGTAGATTCTAATTATGTTCTCTTTTTTCTAGTTTCAAATTTACAGAAACCAAGCATTGTTCTTTTTAAATTTTATTATTTTATTTTATTGAAAAGCTTTTAAATTTTATTTAAGTAATTTCTACACCCAGTGTGGGGCTCGAACTCACGACCCCAAGATCGAGCATTGCCTGCTCTTCTGACTGAGCCAGCCAAGCGCCCCAAATTGTTCTTTTTAAAGATCAATTAAAGAAAATAAACTGAGTCAAAGCGTCATTTTGTTAAGATGCTAAAGGAGCATAAAAATGTTATTAAACAGTACTGTTTATCCTGCAAAAATTTATGGGAGGGAGGGACATCTTGTGCCTCATCTCTTTGGTGACCAGCTGTCCTGAGCCAGGAAGCCTTGTTTATGCCCTCTAATGGCCCTCGGCGGACAAAGGTCCTTGAGAGCCTAGGGCTAAGAGAGCAGAACTTCAGGCCACATACCCTCCGTAGTCCTTCACGCTCGCCAACAAAAACTGCAGGTCCCAGAAAAGTCAGGGTCGCTCGGTTTGTGAGCAGCAGAGTTGGGATTCAAGATTCTAAAGTCCATGCTCTTAACGTGCTGTCATTGCTTGCGCAAGAGGAACCCATTTTAGAGGGTTCATTCGTTCATGTATTCTTCATTCTTTGAAAAAATTTTTGAGCTTCCACACAATGTCTAGCTACCACAATGAATAAGATCTAGTCCCTGCCTGAAATGGGTGCGTCATCCAGTAGAGAAAGTAAACAAGCTACAGTTACAAAGCAGTGTGGTGGTTTGTAACCACCTGCTCCAGGTGGTTCATATGCTGTGGCTGTAGGACAGAGGTCATCCAAGTCAGCTCCGGAGGGTAGGGGGAGGTTTCATTAAGAGACTTGACACTGAGTCCCAGAGGATGAATAGGAGTTAATCAGAAGAGAGATGGAAAGTTCTAGAAAGGCCTCCAAACGTGGGAGAATATGATAAATGCAGAAAGCTTGGACATGGTTAGAGCATTGGGTGTCTATATGCACTGTGTGTGTGTGTGTGTGTGTGCGCGCGTGTAGGTATGTGCTGTGTGGGGAAGGAAGTCATGTGGAATGGAAGAGGAGGAGATAAGACTGGCCCGAAGCCAGATCATGAGGGTCTTAAATGCCACGCTACGTAAGGAGTTAAGCTTTCAGCCTGAAGGTAATGGAAAGCCCCTGAAAGATTTTACCTTGACTGTGATTTAATATCTACAGAGAACTTTAGCAGTAGTGTAGAACTTGATTTCTAAAGGAAAGGAAAAAAATACAAAAGATTAAAAAAAAAAAAAAAAAAAAAAGCCCGTTTCCTCAACTAAAGTAGTTTTCAGAAATATTGACTATGACTGGACATCCTTTATGACCGTTCTGAGACACATACACCCTCAGGGGTGGTGCTTTACCACCTGCCTGTGCAACGGGCACAGGGTCCCTGCCGAGGTCCCTGCCTGGGAGGCCTCCACGTTGGCCACGCTGATTGGACAAGGGGGGCGGGGCAGACACCTGATCTAAGGCAGCCCATCCAGGATGTAAGGCGTCACGTGAACGTGGACTGCCTGTCAGGAATGATGACGTAGTGCAGTCATCAATTCCTATTCTAAGGAGTTTGAACAGGAGACAGAGAGAGAGGGTTGAGCAGTGGCTACAGGAGAAGTTGAGGAAATTTGTAAAAATGAAGGCAGAGACCATCTGGCCATGGTGACAGGGCGCTCATGCTGCCGAGGGGGCACCAGAATAACCTAGCCACTGGGCCTTTCCATTCCCAAACCACTTCCATCTGGGAGAAACCCAGCTCTTCCTGGATGCTCACAAGGCTGGGCTCTGTGGTGGAGACTCCTTTGTCATTTCTACGGGATTGTGACAACAGTGCCCTGTTAAGTGAGTGCACGTCGGCTCCTGGTAACCAAGGAAGGGCAATGCATGCACGCGGGGCTCAAGGGAGCCAGACCCAGGCTCCGATTTGTTGATGCGGAGTCGGACTTCGCAGCAGTTTACTGGCTGTCATTTACTCTCCCAGCTTCTTGATCCCGCCTTAGAGAAGACAGCACAGGGTCCTCAAGTCCTCTTCCTGGGGTGACGGCTGTATGGCGGCTGTCACAGAAACACCTTGCGCAGGGTCAAGAAAACATGGGGCCCATTACAAGAGCCTAGAAGTCAGCCTGTAGGTGCCCGGAAACAGTGGGCTCCACTCCTGTGGCCTCTCTGGAGCTGTGAGGAGCCGCGCACACGGGCAGTGGCCTGAACCGTTTCTGAACTGCACCCCCGAAGCTCTTGGAGTGTGTGACCCCAAGGCGCCACCGCGCTGTGAGATCCTGCCTGAGTCCAGCCAGCCT